TTTCGTTTTCATTCTTAAAAATTCATTTCAATATTTGTTTCTTTTAACTTTGAATCATTGTCCAATGATGATGATGTTGATGTAATATATATATATTCTAGATCATTTCAATGACAAACATCACCAAAAATAATCATTGTCAAAATTTTTTATGAAAGAAAGAATCAAATAGTAAAATGATTGAATGAATGAAAATTTGATTTTCGTTGTAGAATTTCAAGTTTTCTTTTTTTTGATTCTTGAAAAAAAAACTTTAGATGAGAAAAAAGGAAACAAACAAACAAAACAAAACATAAGAATTCGAATCTTTTTTCGAATGTTGATAAAGATTCGATACTATTTCGACATTATCAGTATGAACCTATGACAATAGACAACGATGATGATGATAAAATTGATGTTTTGACAATTCCCAAAACGAATAATTTTTTCCGGAAAAAAAATCTCATCATTGAAATCAAAAAAAAATGTCATTGCAGAAGGGGACAAATTGCCAATTGATTTGGGTGGCAAAAAAAAAAAAAGAAAAGAAAAAGTCTTTTTTATTTGCTTGATTTGGCCTTTCCAATTCATTCAACTGTTTGTTTGTATTTGGACAACAATTATTCAACAATCGATGATAATGATGTGAAATAAACCAATCATCTTCATTTCATAACAACAATAAAATTCGATTTATCATTGTCATGGCCAATATTGTTGTTGTTGTTGATTGATCCTGACCACGACCCGATCATTTGGATCCAAAATGATCGGTTAAGATCAAAATATTGATGATATTTGATCCGATCGAATCATATGGCCCTTTCTTTCTGTTGTTGTTGTTATTATATAATATTTTTGATTGTCAATATCAAAAAAGTTCATCAACAATGAAATGAAATGAAAATTTTCATTTTAAAATCCAAAAAAAATCAAATCCAAATCCAGTATCATTGAATTTTTTACTTGTGTGTGTGTTGATTATTTAACCCGAGAACAAATATGATTGGAAAAGACGGCCATCCAAACGATAAATGAAAACGACTGTCGTTTTTTTTTCTGGCCATAAAATGAATTAAGAAATCATCAATGAATGAGGCTCAAGAAACAGCTACTTGGATACAGATCTTGATGAAGCCAAACAACAACAACAACAGTAACGACAACAACAAATTCAATGAGAGGGAATGTTTTGAGCAAAGAAGAAAAAAAAATGAATAAAATGGCCATCATCGATAACGGATATTCATTCATCGATTATAGTTGAATTTTGATTTTTCTTTCTTTCTTTCTTTTTTGGCCACTTTATCGTTCCATTTTTTTTCTTCTTCTTGCTTATTAAATGTCAATTTTCGTTGTTGTTGTTGTTGTTGCTTCGACGTCATTTTCTTAAGAAATTTTTTTTTGAAGAAAAATAACATATATCCAAAATAACAAATTGACGCCAAAGTAATGAAAAAAATACATTTTTCTTCATTTCTGCACAATTTTTATCACTTATATATTCATTTTGGATTGTTTTTTTTCAGAACTGTAATTATAAAAAAAAACAGAAAAAATTTAAAGTGAAATCCGTTATCCATCGATTATATTTTTGATCGATCAATATACCGAAAACAAAAACAAAACGAGATGAAATTTTGGCCATGTAATCTTGTCGTTGTCGTTGGCCATATATTTCACGTGTTGAAATTTTTAATTTTGCTGATGTTTTTGAATTAGTTTCACTCAATGAAAATGATGTATTGATTTGATTATCTGGATTTGTAAAATTGGTTGAATGTAAAGCAAGGTATTCGACCAACAAACAAAACAAAAAAAAATTCATAAAAATTTCTACGGAAATGAGTGGTAAACATCGAAAGTCGCTCAACCAAAAAAAAAAATATTTCCATAAAATTTCTTTTGATTTTCATTTTCGAAAAAAAAAGTTTCCGAGAAAATTTTCCTTTCTTGATCATAATTTGAAAATCTACCAATTTTTTTCCATCCAGATCATATCCAGGATTTTCTTGTTGTTGTTGTTCCAATTGGAACATTTTCACACACACACCATATACACACATCATAAAACAAACAATTAACTTTGAAAATCAAAAACAATAAAACACAATTCATTTGACCTTTGTTTTTAAAAAATATTCAAAACATTGATAATGAATTGATTTATTGTTTTGCTTATAATTATGATTTATTTTGAATATCTGATTGATTGAAAATTCAATTAATCAGTTCAAGATCAAATTATCATCATAATCATTATCACCAAATGATGATGATGATAATGTTTTATTTGATCTAAATTTCATTCAATCACGAAATCATTGAATCATTAAGTTTGTTTTGGTTTGTTTATTGTGTGAAAGAGATAAAGATAAAGTGAAAGTGAGTTAGTGTAAAACTGATAAATTTTAATTATTCGAATCAATTTTGATCAATATGGATCATTTGGATCACAATAGACATCCACAAGTAAACATAGGTCACAAACACGAGCAGATAATTTTTGTTGTTTTTTTTTAATCAAAATAAAATGAACCAGAAAAAAAATTACGATGGATTTTTTCTGATGAAAAACGATACGAAAAACGAAAAACTTTTACTTTTTTTCAGGATTTTCAACTGGAAAAAAAATTTGCGAAAAACATTTTTCCAAACAACAAAAAGCATTGTAACGTTTCAAAGTTTTTTATTTGTTTCCAATCATCACTAATCGGAAACAAAACAAAACAAGCTAATAATTAACATTTGTTTCTTCATCAGGTTTCTTTTTTCCCCAGAAATATAATAATCATCCTGTATCTGTAAACTCGAAAAACTCCAAAGAAAATCCAGCGTGTTTCTTTTTTTCCAATTTTGCCAAAAAAAAAATTTTCTGTCGCTTCCAAAGATGTTTTGTCTTTTGAATATTTTATCGTTTTTTCTTTTTCTTTTTCTTTTTCAAACGTTAACAAACCAAAAATGCCCATATATCAAATGTTTGAATCGTTTACCGTTTTTTTTTGTCAAAAACAAAATCTAGTTATCGATATTATCATTTCGCAAAAAAACAGAGAAAAAAATGCTTACCTTTTTGTGTGTGTGAATCCATCTTGGATATTTTTTTCGCCTTGTTTCCATTCTCATTCATTCATCATATTTGTTTTGTTAATTAGTTGTTGTTGTTGTCGTTAGATAACAACAACAACAACAACAGAAGAAAATTACATTTCAATATTATGATTATTCAACAACAACAACAACAAAAAACTAGTAGCGAACAGAAAAAAACTTTGAAATTGATTGACTTTTTTTCGGCAGGTAATATAATTTTGAATATAAGATATGAAAAATGAAATCTGAAACTTTAAACGTTCTGTTGTTCGGTTGTTGTTGTCAAAGTGAGAAAATAAATGATAACAAATTTGAATAAAACAACAACAAAAAATTGATTTGAATATAAATAGATTTTTTAGGTATGAACATCTCTCTCTCTTGCTTGTCGTTTTGTTTTCCTGGTGAAATAATCATAATAATTATTATTGAATTGTCAAAAATTTTTGTTTTTTTTTTGGGCAAAAAATAATAATTGTTAACACGATGTAATGGCGACCAGAAAAATGTTTTGTTTTGTTTCGTTTTTTCTGTTCTGAAATAATCAGTTATCAGTTGTCGTTTGTTGTTTGTCGAAAACAATCATCTATATTTTATTTTGTGGGAAAATTAATCGATTTTGTTATTTGTTGTTGCTGTTGTTGTTTACCTTATATTGATGATAATAATTTCAATAAATCATTATCATCACTTTGAAAATTTGATGTTTTTTTTTCTTGTTTCGCTCCCATTTAGTTATTGGAGATTTGTTTGATCCACATTAGAACTTGTTGCCCAGTATCATTATTTCACCATGGTCAATTGATTGATGATCGATGAATTCGATGGATAAAGGGAAAATATTCTTCATTTTTAACCAAGAAATATTCTTTTTCTGGAAATTTTCTTTTTGATCAAAATCAAAAATCGTGATGATGATGATGTTGGGAGGCAACACATTTCACACACACACACAATATACCTATATAGAGAAATCAAAAACAAAACAAAAAAAATTGTTAAAATGATGCATCACATATTGGCAAAAAAGGAGGAGGAGCTTTCTCGAAATCGAAATGAAATTTTTTTTAAAAAATTGATTCATTTTTTCAATCGAAAAAAAATCAAATTTTTAAAAAATATCATTTCATTTGATTGACACGAGTAACAATCTTTTTCTTTTTTGTTTTAAATTTTTTGTTTTTTTACCAGAAAAAATGTCTTACCTATGTGATCATCAACAATGTCTTCACATAATTATGGTGATCGAAAAAAAACATCGATAATACAAGGACATTGAATGAAATTTTGAAAACAAAATCGTGATCTGTGATCGATGATTCTTCTTCAAATTGGCCACACGATTTTTTGTTTTGTTTTGTTGTTGCGTGGGTGTTTTAAAATCGATCAATAATTGATGTTCATTTAAATATCTAATAAGAGAAAAAAATCAAAATCAAATCAAAATTGTCATATCAATCAGAAAAAGAAAAAAAAATTGTTTCACGATTGATGATTGATCAGCATTTATCATCGATCAGTCCGGTTAATTCCATATTTAACCAGATTTTGGTTGAATTTTCTTTTGCTTTGGTGGTCATGAAAGTAATAATTTAAAAATTTTTTTCTTGAAAAACAGTAACAAAAAAAAATAATGATTTCTTTGGACAAAAAAGTTCGTGGACATTGAAAACGAAGAAAAACGTTTTTCAATGTCCAGGATTTCTTTTTCATTTTCTTTTACTTACTTACTTTCACTATTTGATTTTTCCAAAAAAATTTCAATGAACCTTCGATGATGATGATGATGAACTAAACCAGAAATTTTTTTCATTTCATTTCTTGATTTCGAATCATCAGCAACAGGAAAAAGTCATTCGATTCGAAAACCACATTCGAATCATTTCGTCACAACTGTAAACATCATCATCGATTTTGATCTTTTGGGAAAAAAAACAGAAAAAAAATTTAAAAAATTAATAAAAATAATGACAATGAGTACATTATTGATACATCAGATTGAACCATTTTTTGGTGGTTCAACAATACAATCTTCATCATCATCTTCATCTTCATCATCGTCATCTTCATCATTATCATCGAATCCGGTTGATGATCAAATGGATAGTTTTTCACCAACATCCGTAAATCTTACATTTCCCGAACAATATGGTGGTGGTGGTTGTGGTAGTGTTGAATCATCGAATCGTACATCAACGTCATCATTAAATCATTCAAATGATAATAATGTTGGATTTATAACCATAATGAATTATAATCTTTTTAATCAAACAAATGATAATGAAAATTTTAATCATCATCAACAATTATTATCTTCGATTAATACGGAATCAGATAATACCAACAATAATAATCATGATGATAATTTAGTTATAAATAATAATTGTCAACAACAATCATCATCATCATCATTTTTATTACCATTTTCGAATGTTTTATCAACAAACAACAATAATCATCATGACGAAAACCATTTTGACTTGAATAGGTCATCTATTGATCAAAATAGCCAACATCATAATAATAATAATCATTCGAATTCCTATCATCATCATGTTGATGATTTTATTGTCCATAATAATTCGGATGATAATGATGAACAAAATGAAGATGATAATAATAATAATAATAATAATATTGTTAATTGTATGCCATGTATTCTTCATGATGGTAAGTTTTGTTTTGTTTTTGCTTGAAGTTTATTTTTTTTTTCAAATTAAATTAATCATCATCATTGAATCTAGATTATGATATTTCCAATCATATCGAACAACATTCATTGACAACAATAGGAACAACTGCATTATCATCATCATCATCATCATCATGGTCAATAAAATCACCGGAACAATGGCAACCAATTGAAGTAGCTGAATGGATACGTTTTTGGGCATCAAGAAACAATATACAGGATATTGAAATTGCACATTTACTTTATAATCAAATGTCTGGCAATGAATTATGTCAAATGCAACGAGAATATTTTACTAATATTTGTCCACAATATGGTAATCTTATCTATGATTCATTACAATCATTAATGGAACAATTTCGTCATTCGAATCAACAACAACAACAATCGAATGATGATAAAAATTGTTTTTTGCTATCCAATCCAAATTCTGATTACGCTCAACAACAACAACAAAATCTTCATCATGATGAATCTTTACAAACCAATGACATATCAAATCATCATCATCATCATTTATTACCAATTCATTTAGATCTATATCATCATCATCAACATCATCATTCGTCAATGATAAATACAAATTTAGATTCAACAATAAGATTGGCTATCAGTAATGATGATTTATTCGATGATAATAATAATAATAATCAACAACCGCAATCATCACAACAAACAAATCATCATATACAAAATCAATTTAATCATCATCATCATCACCATCAACTTAATCATTATAATAACAATACATTCGAAGATCCAAGTCCAAACTCTTATGGTAAGTCAAATCGTAAATGACAAATTAAGAAACGAAAAAAAAAAATTAATTCAAATCCAAATTAAAATCAATGTCTTTTCTTTGGAAAATTATTCTTTGTTACTTTTTTTTCATTTGAATTTAGCATTTGATTCTGATCGTGAAAGTAATACTAGTAGTACAACTTTTAGTGATCATCATCATCATCACAAACACAATCAACAACATGGAAATCATCAACAATATCGTCATCATGAACAACAACAACAACAACAATTACAAAAAATTCCCCTCGTTATCGGATCCTATTATTTATCACCACTAGAGCAACAACAACAACAATGGCAACAACAACAACCACAATCAGCATCATCATCACCATCATCCACATCATTATCATCATCAATTTTGATCAATAATAATAATAATAATAATAATAATGGTCATCAGCAACAACAACAACAGAATTGTCAAGAAATTCATGTTATTTTTAGTAACAATGATAATAACAATAATGAACAGGATCATCATCATCATCATCACAATCACCAATCATCCAATATCGAATTGGACATTGATCAAACATCGATTGATGATGATGAATTAGCCTTGAAACAGCAACATCATCATCATCAACATTTAAATCATCAATATACAATGAATAATAGTAGCCATCATCATTTTCAAGATAATAATAATAATTGTTCCAATGTAATTAATAATGGACGACGAGGACGGCCACCGAAAAAAGAGAATAAATCTCGAAGTAACTATTCATTACTTTATTATTTGGTGAAAGTAATTAATTTATTTATTTATCCTAATTGAATTTGTTCATTTAAAAGGTAAAGGTAATGGTAAACTATGGGAATTTATTCGTGATTTGTTATTAAATCCGGTGACCAATCCAAGTTTAATACGTTGGGAACGACAAGAAGATGGTATATTTAAATTCATACAATCGGATAAGGTGGCAAAAATGTGGGGTGAACGTAAACAAAATCCACGTATGACATATGAAAAATTAAGCCGTGCAATGAGGTAAAGACATTATTCAATATTTTTTTTAAAAAGACATTAGTTTTACAAAATATGATTCATTCATAGATACTATTATAAATCACAAGTATTATTACCGGTATTTGGAAGACGATTAGTTTATAAATTTGGACCAAATGCAACTGGTTGGAGGCCAATAAAAACAACAACATCAATTGATGATTATGATTATTCACAATCATCTCCATCGACGACAACAATTTGTGAAATGACACATTTGGATTCAAAATGAAAATACTTTTCCCAAAAACAAAAAACAACGACCTATCGTTCGTAATTATACCAAAAAACAAAATCCGGTCTCTTAAAACATCATCATTTCATTATCAAACATCATCAGCATTATTATTTATTCAAAAATTTCTTATATTTATCTTATATAACATTTTTAACATTATTTAATTATTATTATAAATCTCTTTTTTTTTGTATTGCATATTGATCATCATCAATATATTCATTAATTTAATTTAAATCATCACATTTTTTTTTCTCTTAAACAAATGACAAACGACATCTAGTGTGTTATTGAATAAATATTTCTTTTTGGTTTTTTTAAAAAAAATTCAATATGATGGACGATTATTTGATAATTCGATAGAATCGTTTACGATAAATGATTGACATTTATGAATTTCGAGAACGATATGAAAATTAGTTAAACTTGATTTATCCAATGTTAATATTGATTGTAGTAATGTACAATTGAAATGATAATGATGATCATGATGGTCATTTTTCACTGTCGAAGATATTTGACAATCATATTTATCATTACATTGATTGAAATATTCCGAACGATCTTTTGGTTCGATCAGTAGATAGATCCAATCGTATTGTTGAAAATTTTCAATATAAAATTTTGGTTCTTTATTATAATAAACATTTTCAAGCTGAAGAAATCTTGTCACACCAGATTGAGCAGCCAAATCACAAACATAAACACCAAATTTTTCGGATGTTCCAGATTTTGATTGTAATTGTTGAATATTACCATTAATAATTTGTATTGAATAACCACCTGGATAATTATAACTTGAAATATATAATTTGATAATTGTTATTATCAGATTAAGAAAAAGATTTACAATAAGGCCATAATGAAAAAAATGTTGTAAATGTTTGATAAAATATACGGATATCGGATTGATAAGTAATCGATAATTTTGGAATTTAGACTGTTTCAACAGTTTGAACACATAATGTTGAAATTGAACAATAAAATCATTGATTGTAATGATAATTTGAGCAAATATTGCATTCAATAATGGCACAACATAAATGATAAATCGAAGTTCTTTATGTGGTAAAAATGAATATAAAAATATAAATGCAAACGATACGAATGTATATGGATGCCAGAATTGTTTGAAAATCAATGCAAACGGTAATAATAAAATTGTTGTGAAAAATATATTCGGTAAAACATTGGTAAAATACCAATAAAATGGCTGTACACCCCAAAGATGTGATTTATTTTCAACAATATTAAACCATATTGTATCACCTATTTGTTTATGGAGAAAAAAACATGAAAATTAAAAAGATATTATCAAAAAAATGAGAAGAATGTTAAACAAACCTTCAGGCCAAATCCATTTGTTCCACATAAACGAATCAAACAATATGGTTAATAATAATGAAAAACAACCACTTGGAATACCATAAATAAAAATATTGATTAATGATAATCGTCGAGTGTAAAAACATTCAATCAAACAGATAATAGAAAATAATATAATCGTTTCAAAACGAACAACAATAACAGTGAAAGCAAATAAAAAAATAAACATTGACCATTGTTGATGATTCCAATAATCATATGCAAATAACATTAAAATCAATGCAAATGTATTTGGTAATGTACGTGATGAATAGAAAATTAGATGAAATTGTGTAATTGTTAACAATGTTAACCACCAAATGGATGAATTATGATGACGATAACTAGTAGTAGTTGTTGTAGAATGAATAAATCTTTTGAATGCAAATGTAAAACAAAATAACAATGATAAACGTATGAAAATTTGTGCAAAAAATTTATCCAAATCGATAATAGTTTGAAATAACCAATAAAATGGTTTTGTAATTATTGCGATAATGAAATTTGTAATGAATGTTCGATGTACAACACCGGGAAAATTTTCATGATCCCAAATTATCTTAGAAGATTGTTGTTTTGGATCGTTAGCCGGTGATGATGATAACCATTTGGAAAGGAAAAGAAAATCATGACAAGCTTGTATACCGAATGATTCTTCAACTTTTGTATAAGGTACTAAAAATAAATGTAAACAACCAATTATGAATATGAGAATTGATGAAATTAATGAAATATTCTTCATGATTTTCGAAGAAAATTTTTTTTTTTTTTTTGAAATGAATCCAAAACAAAATTCCAAATCATCTGTAAAAAAATAATAAAAATTACTTAAGAACACGCCATCTATCCACAACGATCAACATTAGTGATTCGAAATTGAATTTTAAATTTAAAAAAAAATTAAGCGCGAATTTTTTTTTAATTTAAAAACCCCGAAAAATTTTAAAATTTTATTTTATCCATTCTTATAATTTTGATAATAATTTAGATTAGAAAAAATTGAAAATGAAAAATTTCTATGTTTTTGTTTTTGTCGCTTGTCTGTTGAACCAATTTGAAATTATTATTATTTGGCACGATATTTTGCATAAGATTTTGCCAATGATTCTAATTCTAATTGTGCAACACCATCTTCAGCTGTAATTGATGGATATGATAAACCATCATCAATCCATTGCATTGCTTCTGGATATTTTTTCATTGAAATCAATACTTTAGCCATCCATAAATGATTTGCTTTCCATTCATGTTTTAATTTATCAGCCATTTTTAATGATTCTAATGCATCTTCATATGTTGCTTCAGGTGGTGTACCGAAAAATGTTTTTGCAATTTGTCGTTCCATAAATGAAAGACTGGCTACTTCTGAACACCAACGACCATACATATGATGCATTAATTCATCATTATTATCAATGGAAACGGCAATATCACGATGTTCTTTAAATTGATGTCCCATTTGAATACGTTCTTTTGTACTGACATGTGGTGCCATTCGTCCAACAGCAGCACAATACCTGTTGCAAAAAAAATTTGAAATTTTGAAAAAATTAAAAAAAAATTAAGCCAAAAACAAATCATACCATTTATGTGCATTCATCGATTTTGGATCCAATTCTATAGCTTTTTTAGCATATTTTAATGCTTCTTCTTCCCATTTTTTTCCTTCAGATTTATTCTTTTTTTTCAATTCACAATCAGATAATGTTAAACAAATAATAACCAAACGATAACAATATTCAACATTTTTTTCACCATCATCATTAAATTGTTTCAATAAACGATTATATAATTCCATTGGATCTTTTGATGGATCGGCAACATCTTTATCATATTCTACTAAAAAATTATCAGCCATTTTATTCGTTGTTTGATGGTGTTAATGAAATATTCAACGATGATACACGTGGAAACCGAGAAGAAAATTTCCAAAAAAAAATCACTATGAAAAACACGACAAGCAAAACAATTTAGAAAATTTGATGAGAAAATTATCTATATTTATAGACGATGATTTAAAAGAAATTAGGATCAATCAAAAATTATCAGGAAAGTGGAAAAAAATCTCTAATCGTACCGGTGGATTATGATTCTAGGAACAAACAAACCAACCAACCAAAAAGTCACAATCAATCAATGAGAAACACAATGAGAAATTGGTAAAAAATCAAAGAAAAAATGATTCGATTGGCTTGGATGAATGAATGAATGAATGGATTTTATATGCATGTATGTATTCATGTATGTTGTGTAACTGTGTGTATATTTTCATTTGGCCAACGCCTGCAACAACTTTCCAAACAATGTTGGTTGATAATTTTTATAAAGAGAAACAGATACACTTTTTTTTTTGATCAACAACTGCTTTTAGAATACAGTTTGTTGTTGTTGTTGTTGTTGGTTACAACATTCGATGATTGTAATCGGAATTATAACAACAACAACAACAACAACAACAAAAAACATTCATTGATCAATAATTTTTTTTTTTGAAAATTTTTCAAGTACACATGGACATTGTGTATGTGTCTGTGTACAGATAGATAACGGCTAGAGTGCTGTATCTTTTTTTGCTTTTGAACAATTTTTTTTCCCTGGAAATACAGCTTTTCTATCAGAGGATACACCACTACTTGTGTATTGGATGATAAAATCATCATTATCATATTTTTTCGATAAGAATGTAATGAAGAGAAGAAAAAAAAATATAAGAAATCTATTGATTTGTTGATTGATTGATTGATTGTGTGATTGATTGGTTGTCTGGTTAGTTGTTTGGTTGATTGATTGGTTGATTGATTGCTAATCAATTTGGATTTTGTCGTTTGATTGTACTCGATATACATGTATCCAGATACAATTATTATTAAAACATTTTTCTCCTCGGTTCGATTCGGTTCGTTAGATTTGTGATGAAATTTAAATTAGTAGATTATGGTAATGGGAATTACATCATCATCATCATCATAATCATCATTATTAGAACGTACCGAACATAGTGATCAAGGTTAGATTCAATAGACCGGAGATATGAATCGTTTAATATATTTAGAAACAAAAAGGAATTGCACACAAACACACATTGTGTTTGACTGTTGATTGACAAATAACGATAATTTTGACAGAAAAAAAAATTGACAAAACTTTTCAAACGGATAACATAAATGAACAGAAAAAGGAAAAGAAATTGATAATTTCACAAACCAGATTCAGTAATGTTCAATGTAACTCAGTAATTTTATCAACAACAACGATTTCACCAAAGATATGCCAATTGTGTTAAAACAGGTGAATAAGCAACAACAAACAACAACAAAAAACGAAAGTAAATCACTTGAATCGAAACAAAAACAAAACAAAAAACAGATTTAAATCAGGTCAAATGTGAAATTGGATTGAAGAATCAGCAAAAGAAAGAGAAAAAAATTCGATGAAAAGTTGCAACAACATTCGAAAACATTCGAAAGAGAAAAAAAACATTCGAAATTTTGACGTTCGAATTTTTTTTTCGTTCGAAACATACGTTCGAATGAGAAAATTTCTTTTTTTTCGGGAAAGTTTCTTGATTTCTTGAAAAGTTCATTGTATCATTGTTGTTGTTGATGATGATCTTGATGAAAACCTTGAACGAAACAAAAAATGTAATCATATACAAAACAGCATGTCCAAAATTAATTTTGCATCATGATCAAAAGATCATCAAGGTAAATGATCAAGACTGTAGGTGTGTGTGTGTGTGTTTGCGTTTTCACTTTCTCTCTCTCTCTATCTCTTTTCTCAAACAACAAATATGATGACCACATAATCATTTCGAATGTATCTTTCAATCATCGATCATCAAACAAACAAACACACAAATATCTCTTTCATATTTCCAGAAAAAAAAGAAAAAAGAAAAATCCAATTTGATTGATTGATTGATTTGGTCATTGAAAGATTTGTTTGTTTGTTTGTTTTTCCTCATTTCACAATCCTTTTGTTTCTCGATGAGGAATCCATAATATGATCATCATTCATTGATTCGGTCAGTTTTTTTTTGACGAAAAAAAGTCGTCATTAACGGTAATGATTTCGACGAAAAAAAAAGTTTTTTTTTGTTGTAAATTTAATTGTTCAATGGAAGGAAAAAAAAGCCTGAAGCTTTGAAAATCATCAACAACAACAACAGAAAAAAAGTGATGATTTTTTTGGAAAATGTTATTTCATTTTTTTGTCAATTTGATTGAATCAAAAATCAAATCAAATCACAAACCAATCTGTTTTTTGGAAGATGAAACAGAAAAGTTTTCAATTTTCTTCTTTCTTTTTTTGTTTCCTTTCGCACTAAAATTATTCAATTAAACTTTTTTTTGTTGAAAAGTTTTTTTTTTTTTTGGTTCCCGAGAAAAATTTATTTATAAATTGTTCAACGGGGGGAAGAAAAAATTTTTTTTGACGAATTGATTGAAACCAAAAAGAATTTGACAGAAAAATATTCTTTTTCTCTCACCGTATGCAGAATTTCAATGAATAATTAAAAATTCAATGGAAAATTTTTTTTTGTTTTCAAAACATCAAACAAACCATGCAGACAAACCAAACCTTCAAAAAACAATAAACAAAGTTTCAATGAAACAGAGAAAAAAACGTTCCGTTCGGCATCATTTTCCGAATAATGTTTTTTTTTCTTCTTTTTTGAATGGCGTCGACTCATCATGTCCGCATCATCATTCTCAAAACAACAACAACATTCCGAAACATCATCATTTGGTGTGCTGTTTAAATATTCTTGAATTTTGAAGTAAAAAATAAAATCACTATTCCGCTGCCACTGCCACTGATGTTATATAATGTTTTTCTCCAGAATCCTCTTGTATTTTCTCTCATACAGGATGATGATAGGAAAGCAAAATGTATGAATGAATTTAAAACCCATTCTGATCAATCTGGCGTATCCAAAGAATTATTCAATAATTTTTTTTTGCTGGATTATAATTTTTTCTGGTTGTAGTAGTAGTAAAAAAATGACAGTGGTAGTGGTATTTTCCAATGAAAATGACGCCTATACACCTTTTTTTGGAGATAGAATTGATGTTTCTGGATTTTTCACTTACCGAGAAATTTCATTCAGATATTTTTTCATCCAAATGAATATATAGTGTGTGTGTGAATACGAGGAAATAGTTTTTTTTTGAAAAGATTAAACAAAAAAGCCGAAACCAAAAAAAAAACAAAGAATTCAGTTCTGACCATCCATTCATTCATTCAAAATGAATGGAAAAAACGCAAAATAAAATCGCATCAATATAGTCAATGCGTGTGTGTGTGTGTGATTAATTCATTTTTGAAACAAATTTTTTCGTTTCTTTCTATATAGAATTTCAATGATGATGATGATCATCATCACTTGGTCCACGATAATGATGCTACCATCATGGATGTTTATATAACACACACACACACACATCCATCCAAATTCTTCTTTCTACCCGAACTTAACATCTTTCCCGAAGCCAAAATTATATTTATATAGAATTTGGGAAAATATTCGGGAAAAACATTAGACAAAAAAAAAATACTCGATTCTTGATTCTTTGGATGTTGTTGATGTTGATGATGTTTCTAGAATCCAAAAAAAAAACAACATCACCACTAGCAAAAATTTGTTAAAAACTTTTCATCATCATCATCATCAACAGAATCGTATACCAGAATTCTTTGACTCTAATTTTCATTATTATTATCTTTTCTTTGATTCTGGTTTTCTCTCTTTCTCGCTCACTCTATTCTGGATTCTGTGTGTAGTAATATCTTCTGTACGGGTTTTTCTCTTTCTCTCGCTTTCTTCCAGTAATGTATCCATGTTAATTTTTTTTTTTGTTTTTTTTTTGTTTCATAATTCGGACTCTATTTTTTTTGGGACTTTCACAACATTGAATTGATGATAATTTTCAACAAGAAACCCAGCCAATCAATCAATCAATCAATCAATCAAATTCCGTTTTTTTTTCAAACTCTCCTCTCTTCTATTTTCCGAATCATCGTTTTGTTGTTGTTGTCGTTTTTCCGAATTATTATCTTTTTTTCTCTCGCAAATCATCCCATTATCAGTCGTTGTTATTCAGACAAAACACAGAGACTTTCATCGATTAAGGTGTTTTTCGTTGTTGTTGTTGTTTGAAATGTTTATTAATCATTGTAATGCGTGAATATTCTAATCATATTGATCGAAACGATAATGATCAAACGTAAATCATCACATTCAATCGTTGGTGGTGCGGGAAGCATTCGCAGTAGAATCAATACCAACAGTAGTATTGGTGGTGATGAAACACATAATAATAATAATAATAATAATGAAGAAGATGAAGATGATAATGATAATAATGATTGCCTTTCATATTCAATTCCATTACCAATACAAACATTTTTATGGCGACAGACAAGGTAAATTTTTTTAATTTAAAGTTCTTAATTAATTAATTAATTTAATTTTACCTGAAATCGCCAAAAAATCGATCAATTAATCAATCAATCAATCAAAAGTCCATTTATAAGACCAAAATTAAGTAAATTACAAGATGCATCAGCAATGGAACAACGTGAAGCATGTAAATTATTTGAAAAAGTACTTGTACAAAATATACGTTTCGGTCTTTCACCAAGTTTAACAAAAGCAATTGCTAGTGTTAGCAGGTAAATAAAATATTTAATTAAAATTGAATTTTTCTGGACAACCATTAATGATTTTTTTAAAATTACTTTAAAAGATGGCGATTGATTGTATCAGCTTTACCACATGTAATGCATTGTTGTTCAACATTATTATATATACGTCGGAAAAGTTCATTTGATAAATTATCAGCATCGGAAACAAAATTATTATATACATTACATTGGATATTATTGGATGCAGCTGAAGAATGTGCTGATGAAGAATTAGAACGTGGTATTAATCGTCAACAAGAACATTATATACTTCCAATAACAACAATACAAACATTTGTTTATTTATTTGCACCATTAATACCTCATCTAAAACAATCAGATTTTTTAACATCATTTCGTTTAGAAAATGGTTATAAAATATGGATACCATTATTTAATTATTGTCATCCAGAGTAAGTATTTCATTCATTCCAAAATCAAAACTCAATTCAATTCAATCCTTTCATTTGTTTCCCTTCCCCTTATTTCTCATGTTTTTTCCCCACTTATCTCTCAGAATACCAAGCTTTTTAGCACATGCAAAACAGAATACATTTTCATTAACAAGAAATGCAGAGAAAAAATTAGCAATTCCAAAATTTGGTGATGTTTTTATTGGTTCATCAACACAATTAGATAAATCTGGTAATAATATTAATAATGATGGTACAAATGATAAAAAATCAACAACATCTACAACAAAAATTGATCGTAAAGATTCGAATGATATATTTAATTTTGGTCAGCCACCGGATAGTTCTCCATCGCATTTAGTCAACGGGTTAAGTGAACAACAACAACAACAATCATCATCAACAACAACTACGACAACAACAACAACAAAAACAGAAGAATTAAAGAAAAAATATGAATATCAGAAAAAAGATTTACCCGAACCATCAATGGCAACATATTTAGATGTTGCTGTATTACGTTGTTTATTTACATCACAATGGATGGAAGATGGTATTGATTGGGCATTAAATTTTCTTTATTATCGTTTGGAATGTATTGAAAAAAGTCGTCAAAATCAACAACAAAAACACCAACAACAACAATTTTATCGTCATCGATCATATTCATTACCAACACCAAGACGACGTCGTTATCGTGATTCAACAATAATGTTTAATATTGGTGGTATGATGATACAAGAATCCAAACGAAACCGTCCAAATGTCAAAGATCAACATCATCATCATCAACAACAACAACAACAGGATAAGGAATCCAAATTGAAAACATTTAGAGATGTTCGTCGTTCATCATTTTCTGGACTTCCAGGTATTTTTGATTATTGTTATTTGAAATTCATTTTTTTTAACCAAAGAAAAAAACTTTTTTTACCACACACAGGACTGTCAGGATTTCAGGCTTTAATAAGCAGTACTACATCAAGTGCCTCATTTGGCAGACATGGAAGTGAAAAAGTTAAACATAAAAAATCATCAAAAAATAAATCCAATCCAAATCAAACAACAACAACATCACCCGTTGAATCTCAACAACAACAACAACATTCGTCAACAACAACAACAAAAATTCCATATAAATTAATTAATGCTACAAGTAGCCATCATCATGTGCCAACACCGCCATCATCATCAGCATCAAAATCCGATATTCATGTTAATAGTAAACATCATCATCATCATAAATCTGGTTCATCAAAAAATCATTCCACAACAACAACAACAACAAATAAATCGGCTAAACAGACAATCCGTGATGTTGTCCTATCAAAACATTTACATTATCATCAAAAATCACAAAAATCTTCAGCAGCTGTTGTGGTGAATGATGATCCACAGCAACAACGATCAACATCAGCAAATAGTTTTAAAAAACGTAAAATTTCACTTTCATCAATGGAAAATCGTCTGATTGATCGAAATGATACAAAAGGAAAATCAATGCCAACATTACATCTTATTAATGATGATGATGATGAATTAATTCATTTTGGTGGTGATGGTGATGAGGATGATCAATATCCATCAATTTATTTATCACCTGAACAGGTACGAACACCAAGTCGTACATCATTGACTGAAATCGGTGGTGGTATATCATCTACAAATGATCAACAACAACAACAACAACAACTCAATCAACAACAACAACAATCGACAACAACAACAACAAATATATTTCCAATCATAACAATAACAGAACATTCACCTGTTTCATCGATAAAATTTTTTAATCAAAATCGTTCAAATAATGATAATGATAATATCAATGATGTTGATGATGATAATCGAAACAAACGAAAATCATCAACAACAACAACAAAACATAAATTCTATATCGATGATGATGATAATGATAATAATGATGGTAATGGTGATTATAATGATGATGATGATGATGATGATGATAATGATGATTATGATCAACATTATTATTCAAGTGCCTATTGTTCTGGAGGTAGAAATAGCCATGGTGGTGGTAGATCGGCAACATTATTATTACGTTGTAAAAGTGATGGACAAATTGATTATACAATTGAAACAAGTGGTGAATCACTTGCATCAATAAATTATGTTAATAAAAATGGTCAAATTAGTTTGGTTATTGTATTGAAAGCAATACATTCAATTACATTAAAAGATTCTGTTTGTACAATGCGTGTTTGTAAAATGATACATAAAATTTTAAATAAATTAATGAGCTTTAAATTGATTTCAAAACGTATTGGTAGCATCTATGTTGGTAAGTAATCATATTTTTGTTGTTATTTTTAAATTTTTTAAATTTTCAAATTCTTTATTTTCTTTGCTTCTTTCCGTGTCGAAATAGCCAAAAAATATAAAACATTTAAACCGAATTGTGAAAATCCTGAATTATCGATACATCATCTGTTTATGGATACATTATTTCGTATTATAAAACAATTAGGATGTTCACGTGGTTGTGGTGAAGGTCGTCGTGAATTGGAAGCAATTCGTTTAAAAGAAAATGTTATGAAAACATTAAAATTACTGCATGAAATGTCTGAATTATTATTTTTACAATATTGTGAAATGTTGGTTACAAGTCATCCAATACAAGAAATAATGGATATATTTCATGCATTTTTTGGTTTTTGTGCCGAAGGAACAACATCATCATCACATTTATCAACAGCAGCAACAAATATTCAACAACAACAACAACATTTAACAGCAACAACAACAACAACAATTCCATTGAAAAAATCATTACCCTGTCAGATAAATCTTGGCAGTGCCAGTAGTGGCCTAGGTGGCGTTGTTGGTGGTGTTGTTAATACACAATTAAAAAATGGTTATTTTAATAATTTTGGTGCCGGTTTTTCTACTACCGGTACGACTTTTGTGAATGGTTCAACATTATCTAAAAGTAAGTTTGATTTGACATTCAAATGATTTTTTCCAATGAATTTTTTTCTTTTTTTCTTCAGTAAAACTTGAAGTCGATACGATAATCGTTAAATATACATTCAAACCATTCATAAGTCGTTTAGTTTTTGTACAAAAAGAATTAAAAGTGCAGGAAAATATGTCATTATATTGTGAAGTACGACAATTTATATCCTATGTTCGTGAAAATCATGGTGGAATATTTCGAAATGTAAGTTTTTTTTTGTTTGTTTGTTTCCGGAAAATTTCTCAAATTAAAAAAAAATTCATTTTTTAGGCTGCACTAAGTGGCCTGATAGAAAGTACGAAATTTGTATTACAAAATCAACAACAACAGCAACGTGGATCGCATCAAAATACTGAAATTCCGGGTAAAGATGATCCGCAGACATTATCGCAACAACAACCATTACCGCTTTCATCATCATCAACAACAACAAGAGCGGTAAAACATAAAAAATGGGGTGCAAATCGTTCCAAATCAACAATGATGGCTGATTCTTTAATTATTAATGATCCGGTAATTGCACAATCTGAATCATTAATATTTCCAATGGGAAATACTCAACAACAACAATCAACAAATCAAATGGAATTGCAATTAATATCAGCAGCGACACCATCGATTCCAACAACAACAACAACAACAACAAATCAATCGAAAATTGATTTTTTCGGTATCCACAATGATCCAACAACTCGATTACCATCCGAACATTCATCAATGATAATCAATAATGATAATAATCAAATTGATCATTATCATCCACAGAATAATAATAATATTCGATCAAATGATTTTGATGGTGGTGGTGGTCAAAATTATCTTACAATTACATCACTTGATCAACAACAACAACAACAACAATCACCATCAACGACGACAACAACAGTGATGATTCGTCGTGGAAGTTTTAATAAACAAACACAACTTAAAGGTAATCATTAATAAATGACATGTGTGTATCAAGTGTGGTTAATTTGATTTTTTCAATCGGATTAACCAATAGGATTTACAACGGCAAATCAATCATCATCTTCATTTGCAGTTACAATAACAGCCGGTGCTGCTATAAATCAAAAATCAACATTTTTTAAAGCAAGAAAACAATTTAAAAATGTATTCGGTGGTGGTGGCAGTGGCAGTGGTGGTGGTAAAAATAAAATCAAACAAAATAGTTTTGATGATACACCGGATTTATCAAGAAAAAATTCCCTACAAGATTTTGATCGTTTACAACAACAACAACAACAAGATGTTGTCGGAATTGGTTCGACAATCAATCAAACAATGAATACATACGGTAGTGGTAAATCGGGAATAATGCCTACCATTAATAATAATATGATGGATATTCCAATGAAAAAAACACGTACAATTTTATTTGAAATTCTTAAAGATGGAATGTTGAAATTTCAATTCTTATTGGATACATGTACACCTGGTTCAATACCGGATGCACAATTAGTTGCGGCAATGCTGGATTTAAAAGCACCAGTATTATCAAGAGCAGCATTCTTATTGGAATGTTGTCATTTTGTACATCGTTGTAATCGTGGACAATGGCCCGGTTGGATGAAAATGAATTTTAATTTTTTTCGTCCTTCAGGTAAAAAGACATTGTGATTTACTTTGTGTAGGTCAGAATGACCATAATGATTTTTTTTTGGTGTTCAGGTCCAAGACATGGTTCACAAACAGTTGTCAGAAGTCGTGCATCAACTACATTACAAAAATATGCTGGTCGTTGTTTTTATCAATGGGGTGAATTATTATCATCACGTTTAGAAGATATTCTGCAGAATGATATCGATATGATGCAATCTGCCGCAATTGCTGATAGTGATGGAAATCAACAACAGCAACAACAACAACAACCGGATGAAGATGATTTTCTAACAGTTTCTTGTACGGATAGTAAAGAAGGTAATTGTCCGTTTGCATTGAAAATCATTGCCTGTCAATTATTGTACGAAATAACAACATATTTACGTGAAACACATCAATATTTATTGACACAAAATTCACGTCGAACATCGATGGTTATGAATCCAACAGCAATGCAAACAGCAGTTGCATCGGTTAAAGATAAACTTTCGGTTGAACCATTAGCAAGGCCATTAGCTATGCATCAAAATCGTCGTTGGTCAATGGCATTAAGCACTGGAACATTTAATAATTCTGCACATAGTTTAATGTCATTATCAAATTTTCCTGGTGGCCAATTACAACATCATATGGAATCACAACATCATATATTACCATCAACAAATGATAGACGTATTAGTTTTGTACTACATGAAGCAGCTGAAAATGAAAATGATTCAAATAGTTTAATCGGTTCAAATGAAGATATTATGATGATGCAACAAAATAATGATCGAAAACGTTTATCACAAGTTGGTTCAACTAATTTAAGTACATGGGGTGGTAGTGGTGTACGTAGCGGAAGTGGTCATCATGAAAGTTTTCGTCGTCGTTCAATTAAATTGAAAAAAAATGATAGTGGAAGTGGAAGTGGTGGTGGTGGTGGTAGCGGTAGTAGTAAAAAACAACCAAAAATTCGTTCATCAACATTAGTTGAAGATGATTATAAAACATCATTATTTAAACGTTCAAATTCATTACGTTCAAAACGTAAAGTAAGTGCTGCATCAGAAAAATCAGATACATCGGAAAGATTTTCCGGTGAAGAATCACCTGGACTATTTTCGGAAGAAGGACATAGTTTTGAATCAGCATTACTTGATAATATAAATATTGATACAAATGATATTGATATGGTGGAAAATATACCATGGCTAAAAATAACAACATTATTTTCATCATTAATTAATTTTGATTGTAATCATCATCAACAACAAAAATGTTTAAATAATTGTCATAAAAAAATTATACAATCAGCATCATTCCTGACGAAAGAAGTACAAAGAATTTATGAAAAAGATGTACAACCATTATTTGATTTTGATATGATGACACAAAAATTATTAGATGATAAAGAAGATGTTGCTAAAAAAGAGAAAAAATTGAAAAAAATTTTAATGGGACATACATCACCGTTGAAACGAAAAGTATCAGGTATTTTATAATCTTTTTATAACAATGATAACTTTGATTGACTAATGATGATTTCCATAATTCTTTTGTTGTTTTGTTTTTGGTTTCAAAATCATTTTAGGTTTTCAAATGGATAAATATTTGGATCGTGATAGTAGCCATGGACATAGTGGGGGTGTTTATAATAGTCAAACAGGTCTTGCACATTCAGCAATCGATCTTGAATATGGCCTATATGAAAGTGAAGATCCACGATTAATATTTCATGATGTGCTAAGTTATCGTTTGGAAAGTAAACAAGAAGAAAATACAACAATGTTGTATATATTGAATCAGGTTAAAAATCCATTTCATTCAATCATATCGATGATGCTTAAAAGTGCATTAATATTAAATCGTAATCAATTTGAATATTTATTAAATCTTTCATGGAATTTAATATTGGATGATGATATACAAATATCATCATCAGCATCAGTTGCCATAATTGTTTGTTCATTAAAATGTCCAGATATTGTTATAAATTTATTGAATCAAAATCTAAATCATCAAAATGTTGATATACGTGTTAGTGCTATAAATAAATTTCTGAAAATTTGGTGTAATCGTCATCAATGTTGGCAACGATTAGAAGAAGGTGCACATTTAGTTTTAAAATTACCACCGGCTGCAATTGAATTTACATTACCATCACCAAGAATTGCTGTTGAATGTAAACCGGTAGTTGATCCACCATATATGCCTATTGTTAAAACAAAAGTTGATGAAGTTGCCATTAATCAAGAACCAACAATACAAAAATCATTTGTTGCTGCAACAAAAACACGTCGTAAACAACAAATAGAATTAATATCAAAAGCATTACAAGATCAAGAAGATAAATTAAGAGAAGAAAGAGAAAATTATCGTTTTAATAGCGTTCCGGTTACATTACAGGCTGCATATGAACCAGTATTATATCATACAATTGATGATCATGATGATCAAGAAGATGATGTTGAACGTATACCATTACATCATTTACAAGTGGCACAATGTTTTTTTCCATCCAGTTTAACAACAGCATCATTTTTAATTGTTAATCTATTGGAAGATACACAAATGAATACCGATGGACAAGCTGTATATGATGTTGCATATAAAACTATTTGGCATTGTTTAAGTGAAGATTCAGCATTATTCTTAAGAAATTTATTGGAAAAATTAACACGTGAAAAGAAAAATGTTGTCATACAAACTATTCGTCGATTAATACGTTTCGTTCCAAGATTACCGGCACAAGCTGCATTTACATTATATAATTATCTGATTGGTTTTATTATGTATCATGTACGAACACCAACTGAAGATTCACAATCAATTATAGCATCAGTTATGTCTATACTGTGGTTAATTGTACCGAATGTTTTTGGTTTATTTCTTAAAGATTTAAAACAAATTCTTCGTAAAGAACAATGCGATGCAACCATATTGATCACTGCCAATGTACCAAGTGCCAAAAAAATTATCGTTCATGGACCGGATCCAGGTTCAATTCCATCACAATTTCCCGTACATGAAGATACACAATTTTCACAAATACTTACAGATAGTTTGGATTTTTTCGGTATTGATGAATCAAAACATAATGAATATTTTTTGGTCGATACAAAAACCAATCAGATTCATAATCTGAATGCATTTGTACGGGATTTTTATTTCTTTAAACGATCACAATATCCACAAATATCATTGGTACATATGAATCCGATTGATGCATATGATAAATTTCAACGACAAGCATTTACTTTACAGTTTACTGAATTGGGAAAGGTAATGTTAATATTCATTCTCAAATTCATGTTTCTAATATTATTTTTTTCTTTTCAATTTGTATCAGTGTTTAATGTCTTTATCATTGATAAAAACATCTTATATGGGTATACAACGTGTACTATTTTTACATGAAGAACTAATGAAATTACCATCATTTCCACGTAAAGCATTGGAAACAAATTTAACATTATATACAGGTCCAATGGGTCGTGAAGTATTAGGCTTGGATACATTACATAAAATTTCATGGGTTAAATTGGTTGCAAGAATGTTTGAAGCAACATCCGGATTTTTTGCCGATTCAACCGATATTCATCTATTTTTAAATGTTGTTAATGGAACATTATTACTGCATTGTGAAGATGCAACAATTCTAAGATTATGTATGGCAACCTATATAAATGCTGCTCATCAATTTAAAAATATATTCGCTACAAATGGTTATTTGCTCATTGTACAGACTATCGTTCAGATTTATGGTACACATCAAACAAATTCATTACTATGTCGTACGATTGAATTTGTATTCAAACAATTTTATATACTACATTCAAAACCATTTGTATTACAAATGTTTGGTGCTGTTGCACCATTATTGGATGCAGATTTTTTAAATAAATATGAATCATCATCATCATCATCATCATGTCAAATATCATCAAAAGCATTTTTTCAATTATTACAATCATTAGGACAATATACAGCCGACCCGTTAGATATATTGGAATTAGTTGATGCTGAAAAACCATTAAAAGCATTAGATTTTTGTTATCAAATGGATTCAGAAACATTAACAGTATTGGATTCAATATCATTATGTGTTACGGTTATATCATATGCACCTGATTCTGAACGTGGTCATCAAATGTTAACAATACTTGATTCAATATTACCATTTCATTTAATGCATATGCAAATATTAACAACAAAAAAAGAAACACCCGGTGGACCACGTGCCGAATTATCAATGATACATAATATTTCTGTTTGTATTAAAACATTAATCTATAATTGTGAAGCATTGACCAGGTAATTCGATTCATTCGATCAATGTTTTTGTCTTCATGTTTTTTCATGTTCTTTTTTCATGTTTTTTGGAAATAGAAACTTTACCGGACCACAACGTACATTGGATATTCGTGAAACAAGTGTCAAAAATCTATCGCCACACATTGAAATTGATGAAGATAGCCATTCAAAGTATGAGCAAAAGTTAATCTGAATATTTTTTTAAAACATTTTTTTCCCTCATTTCAGATACAATGCTGAAACTTATTATCCACCACGTCATAATCGTATTGAATTAGATGATGGTGAACTTTGTCGGCTAGAATTTCGTAAACCGCGTGATTTATTATTGAAAATTGTTTCGGAATTTCTGACAAAAAGTACATCAAGATTTGCTGAATTAAGTAAAAAAATTGCCGAAATTCATCAGAAAAATTCTAGTTATGAATTATTAGATGTTAAATGTCATATTCGTTTAGCTGAAATTGCACATAGTTTATTGAAATTAGCACCATATGATCCACAAACAATGGCCTGTAAAGGTTTAGTTCGTTATATGAATGAAATTCTACCGAATTCAGAATGGCGACAAGAATCAATGCGTCCAGCATTGATTATGGTACTGCGACGATTAGATAAAACATTTACAAAAATATCAAAAAAATCGGCAATTAAACGTACAACGGATTGGGAAGCAGCAAGACGGTTATTGAAAGGTGTTTATTTGACATTCGCTAAACATCCTTATATTGTACATCTACCTCATTTAAAATCATTGATAAATGTTTGCCAGAATATAATTATCGGTGATCAAACATCATATTTTCTTTCGGAATCATCATCCGCTGTATCATCATGGACGGCTGCATTAACACAAGCACCACCACCAGGTAACGCTACCTATTTCATTTTTCAAATTTTTTAATGATTTTTTAAAAAATTTTTCACAGGATTTACATCAGTTGCAGTACGATTAATATCATTACAAATGATACAATTAGGTGATTCACAATCATTAGAAACAATATGTTCAGGTGCATTTTCATCACCAGAAAAAAGTGAAATATATTTAATGAATATGATTTATCCAATGTGTATACGTACAACAAGTGGAATGAAAGATACACCAAAATTTCGTCTTTGTGATATTAATTTTGTACTAAGTGTTATATTGAATATTTTAAAACCATCAAATTCAAATAAACCAACAAAAGGTAGTGATTCATCACAAGCAGGTGTACAATTGAAACAATTTTCCCTGCAACAAATTGGTTTTCTTGGATTAAAAATCCTAATTACTTGTTTTGAAAAACAATTAAATACTGAATGGTATCATATTGCAAAATGTATACGTGATTTAGCCGATAAACCACATCTAATTGGTTCAACATTTTGGAATTTTATTGATTTCATTTCAACATATCGTTCACCGTTATTTGTACTAATGTTACCTTATATTGAATGTAAATATTTACAGAAAAATTGTGAAAATGGTATTGAAAAAGCTTATCAATTAAGAATACAAGAAAAATTAAATGGTTGTGGTTTACCATTTAATCGTTCAAAAGGTAATCTTTATGTATCATTAGTAAATGAAATGAAATCATTACGTGAAGATATTATACGAAGGAAAAATAATCCAAATTTAGATGAAAGAAGTAAATCAATTGTACAAGAACAGAATAGTGCAAGTGATAGACAACAAGAACAAAGTGGTGGTGGTGGTGGTGGTCAAGGTGGTCATCGATTAAGTTTTGCATTTTCACAATTAGCTGCAAGTGCATCAAAATTATCGAATATTAGTACAACAATGCAACCAAATGCAACTGGTGCGGCTGCTGGTACAACCGTTGGTCAACAACAACCGCAAGGATCACAACAACAACAACAACATGGTGAACATTCAATAAATTCACCAACGACAACAACAACATCATCATCAATGAAACCAAGAGTATTACGTGGATTAAGTTTTCGTTTAAGTTCGGATTCTCGACGTTTAGCACAACGTGGTTTAAGTGTAAAATTAGCATCAAATCAATCGGATAAACGAATGTTTACACGTCGTACAAGTTATCCAGATCATCCAGATTTTGATGAATCAGGTGATATTAAACATCCATCCGGTTCAGAACCAAAACTATTTCGAAAAATGACATTAAGTTCATCCAGAACAAATAAAACAAATCATAAATCATCAATATCATCAAGCGGTGAAGCATTAACGGAAAATATTCCACCCGCACCACAATCAATGAGCTCAATAACATCATCATCATCAACAACAGCATCGAATGTTCCAATTCGAAAAGAAACATCATTTACATTAACAACAACAACAACAACGACGACAAATAAAGAAGAAATAAAACAACAACAACAACAACAACAAAGATTACAGCGTCAACAACAACAACAACAAAAATCATCGACAAAAAAATCATTTAGATTTAAAAGTTGTAGTTCAGTATCATCATCAGATGATCATTCATCATCAACAACAACAAAATCGTTAGAAAATTCTACATCTGATGGACATGATTATAAACCACCACCACCACCAACATCAATTTTAAAATCATCAATAAAATCAGCATCTTGTGATAATGAACAACAACAAAAACATCAACAACAACAACAACAATCGTTGACAAAATCATTATCGGCCAATCAATCAATGAAAATTACACCATTTGTTATTCAACAACAACAACAACAACAATATTCAATCAATAATTTTGATCATCATCCAGCAACAACGAGAAATTCCGTACCAATTGTTGTTGGACAATTACCATTGATGAAAACAACATCGAATATGATCGAAATGAATAATAATAATCAGACGCAAATAACATCGATGACACAATTATCATCAACATCGACATCGACCACATCGATGGTATCACCTTTGTGTACGGAAACAACAGCAACACCAACCGGTAATAATAATCATCAAATTCAACAACAACATCAATCATCAACGACTGGTGGTCAGCAACAAACCATAGTTGGTGATGATAATCAACAAGCAACGAAAAATGGACAACAATTATCATCAACATCAGCAACGACAACGACGGCGACTATATCAACATCAACGATAACAATACCGTTTGCTGATGAAGAAACTTGAAATTAATCAATCAATTTTTCTTTTTTTTTCTTTCAATTCTGACTCAAAAAAAAGTTACCCTTATTTCATTATCGTTATTTCGATTTGTTTTAAACCAGAAACACACTACAAAACGGAAAAAAACCGAACGAAAAAACAAAACAAAACAAATTTTCATCAAATCAAATAGTGAGATTTATCTATTTTTTTTTCCTTTAAAAAAATTCTTCAAGAATTTATTTTTTTTTCTCATTCAAATCATTTACTTTATCATCATCATCATCATCATTCTTTCTCCTGCTTTGTTACCATTATTATCTCTTTCTCTCTCGTTGATCATCATTCAATTATCATCATCATCATCATCATCGAAAAACATTCAACATTTAACATAAATCATTGAGAATATTCTTCTAATCATTATCGACAACAACAACAAATATTCCGTGAACTAAAACAACAACAACAAAGAAAAATTCAATATTCGTTATTCGTTTATTCATTAATCAAATGTTATCGCGATAAATTTATTATTATAATGATTATTGTCAAATTCTGTTTCTTTCTCTTTCATTTTTTTAATCTTTCCATAATTATCATTATCATATGACGGTCAGAAATTAAAAAAAAGATGAATTTTCAATTTGAAAAAACCAAAATAAAATTTATCTATGTCAAAAGTCAATTGTGTGATGGTCGAAACACTGGCCAATTGTGTGATGGATTTTGTTTGAGCGCGCCAAAAAAAAAATTCTGAAAAAACTTTTTCATTGTCATTTTGTCTCGAATTTCGCGCTACTTTTTTTTTGTTCTGGATTGAAATTTCCAATTACAAAAGCAAAGAAATGAAATGAAATGAAGCCACTCAACCGAACACATTTGATATGATTTTTTTTTTTTGAAAAAAATGTTTCAATTCAATTCTGGATCACAAAAAAATTCACAATTCAAAAAATTTTGAATTGTTCATTGAACAACAACAACAAATGAAAATGAAAAAAGGGTCAGATTTTGTTGAATTGTTGATACAATTCATTTTAAATTTCTTTTTTTACAAAGAAAATCGTTACTGCTGACCACCATCCATTCAATTTTTCCAATTCGTTTTGTGCAACAGTAAAAAGAAAAAGATTTATGTCAATCGTTTCTTCAATATTCACAGTGGTCATCATCAAAGTGGTCAAAGTTGAATTTTTAAATTTCAAAATTTTCAATCTTTTTTTTTCTTCTTTCAACCAAAAATATGGGTTTGGTGTATAATGATAGTTAAAGCTTGGTGTGGCGGTGGTTGTGATAACCCTTGTTTGTTGAAATAGTTGCTCACTGCTGGGTCCACCAGTGTCAACTTTGGCTTGTCCATAAACAAAAAGTTAGAGAAAAAAAAGTTCATTTTTTCCCGGGCCCAAGAAAAAAAAACCCAAAAAACTATATAATCACCCCAGAAGAAAATAAACACCATTTAATCATTGAATGTAGTGAAAGTCTTTATGTCTTTTTGAATCAAACGAAAATAATGGGTTTTCAAGTCACTCCTATCTTTTTGGCTGGGGAAAATTTCTGTCTTGAAAAAAACTTTCGAAATGGTTTTTTTCTTTCGTTTGATAATCATGGGACACGATTCGTTTTTTTTTGGTCAAACAAAATATACAGAAGTCATATTTGAAGAGAAAATTGAAAACATTGAATTCTCGAAAGTAGTCCAAATGCCTTGAAGGTTCAATTTCTTAATGATGATGATGATGATGATGACCACCACCGACACCATCGTAGATGATGATGATGATGGTCATCATATAATCAGCATCATCGTTTTCGATATTAGACAAGGGCAAAAGTAAGGTAAAAAAATCGACACGAGGTGTTTTTTTCTGTACCGAACACCACCATCATCCTTCTGATGATGATGATGATGATGAGATGAGATGATCATCACGATGATGATCGTCGTCGTCATCATCATTAAAGTATCATATATTTTTTTTTCTTCTTGCTTCTTTCTCATTCAATCGAATTCAATGTTTGAATGAAAATTTTGTTCTAAGGTTTTATGACGATGATGATGATAATTATGTTGATGATGATTTAGATGGAGATATGATACATTTTTTAGGTGATGGACCATCGAGATGAACGAAACGAAACTGTGTAGATAGAAAAACCATGTCTAATTCGATATGAATTGAATTAATGTTTAAGAAGATGAAAATGAAGAAGATAAAAATAAAATTTTAAAAGAAAAAAAATTGTTATTAATTAAGTAAATCAAAGTTTTTGTTGTTGATGATCATCCTGATCATGATATTTATGAATGATTCGAATTCGAATCATTCGAATCCGTTCGAAACGAAAAACGTTCGAAATCAAAAACGTTCGAATTTGTTTTTGTTTTGTTTTTAGGTTAACCTGATTTTCCTTTTTTTCGTTGTTGTTGAAAGAAAACTACAAGGGGATTACCATGGATGTTTAGAATTAAATTAAGTAAGAAAGAAACAAAATCGAAAATTAAATCTTCACGAATCGAAAACAACAAATCCAAAGTTAATTGATTTAATAAAAAAAAATAGGTAACATTATTATTATTATTATTTTCATTGATTTATGTTCATCACGAATGATAATCATCATCAACAACAACGATTGTTTCATCAATTACACATCGATTGATGATTTTTTTTTACTTACTCAACTTATAAAGAGAAAATAATTTAATCATCATACAGGTATGAATGAATGAATGAATGAATGATGATGTTTTTCTTCTCTTATTAAGATTTATTAAGGTAAGGTTTATTTATTCCCATTTGGGAAAACAACAAAAACAATAATAATAATAACCGATTATTAACCCGATTTTTTTCTTCTGTCTATTTATGAAATTATTATCATATAACCTGAATGTAATGAGAAACAACAACAACAACAAAATTGAATTGAATTGAAAGAGAAACCGAAAATGTTTGTTTCTCTTTTTGTCAAAAAAAATTGATTCATTTCAATTCAAATTCAATTTTAATTTTGTTATGAAAAAAAATATTGAATGATGATGCTATTTCTCAACCAAAAACAAATGAAATTATCCGATTCAATCGAAATAGATAAAAATCCGATTTTAACCACCAACAAAAACATCAAGATATTCATCATCATCATGTAAAAAGAGGAAAACACCAAAAAGGAAACACATCATCTATTTGATCATCTTGAATTGCCCATTACGATTGCCTCATCATTATCATCATCAAACGCGATTGGGGCATCATATTTTTTTTGTGTCTGTTTGGCCAAACCAAAAAGATCTTCAATAAGTCAAAACAAGTCGAACCAAAAAAAAAATTACGAAATAGAAATCATAATTATATGTATGTGTACCACCACCACCATCATCATCAATTTTTGTTGTTGTTGTTGATGATATTTTCAACATTGAAAATGTGGTTGGCTCACCAACAATTCAGCCAACAACAACGAAGCAACGAAGAATCGAATCGATGTTCAATCCTGTGGCCTCTGTATACAAGTTTCTTTCCTTTTGAGAAAAAAAAGTTTTGATCTTTGGCTCATCATCATCATCATCATGAACATTTTCTGAAAGAAGCGCAAGCCCGAACAACAAAAACTTGCCTTGTTTTTTTCCCGCTTGTTTCAATTGAATTCAATACGACGACCAAAGATGATGATGATGATTATTTGACCAAGAAAAAAAACTTGAACGAAGACATGGCCAAACAAAAATGGCCAACCTTATGCCAAACTAATCGGTATCTTATTTCTTCTTCCACCACCACCATCACATTGATAATATATCTTCTGAACTATTCTTCGGTTCTCGTCCATCGAAAAGAAAAACTTCGTTCTTGCCTTATCTTGTTTGGTGTGTGTGTGTGTTTGTATTTAAATTTTGCCCTCCTTTTTCTATTCATTCAATTTTTACCATTCGGTCATTCGATATTTTATTTTCTATATGTTTCTTCTTCAAGCTCTGGGCACATTCGATCATCATCATCATCGAAAATGATCCATCTTCATTTTTTGAAAGCTTGATTTTCTTCTTTTTTCTTTCTTGCTCTTCCCTTCACTTGTTTCTGTCTTTATGTTGTTGTTGTTGATGATGATGATCATCATTCGGGTTGTTTGGTCGGTCGATTCACATTTTCTTTTTTTTCTTGTTCCTCAATTCGATTCAAAACAAGCAAAAATTCATTGGCCTTATATGATCAACAACAACAACAACAACATGGCAAAAAGAGAGAATAAGAGATGATAATGGTACCACTATGTTTTTATGGATTATTTATTTTCTGGGGTTGGCGGTAGCGTAGATATAATGGTCAGGATGGATGATGGTAAATTTCGGAGGGGTGGATGTCGATATTTAAGAGTATTTCTCCTCCTCATTATCATTCCCTCCTCATTATCATTCCCCCCTCATCACCATCAACAAAAAAAAGCAGGTCGGTGATTTTTTTTCGCTCCTATACCCAATTTATTTATTCAATGTTTTCGGTCGACGTTCTATTTCGAAGTTTGAAATTTTCAACCATTTTCTGTCTCTCTCTCTCTCTCTCTCTCCCGATTGAACCTATGTCTATCGGTTTTATGTATGGTCGTCGTCGTCGTGGTTGATCAAAAAAAGTTCTTCATAACTTGATGGCTACAAGTGCTGTAGCTGGTGCTCATTATTATTAGTATTTCTTCGTCTTCCCTATCTTTCTTTATGTCATAGTGTTTTTGTGTGCTTGTTTCTATTCATCATTTGGTTTTTGGTTATATACCCTCCGTTGTCATTTTATCGGGCATTTTTTTCCCAATCCACTTGTTGTGCCTTTTTCAATTTCAATTGTCGTCATTAATTTTTTTGGTCTTGAAAAGACGACAAATATTCACTGTGGTGGTTGTTTTTTTTTTGGTGACGCGAATATTATTTCTTCATGGTTAATATCGATTCTATACATTTTTTTTTTGCTTTTTGGTTGCGAAAAAAATCAATTAGTAAATTTGTCATCGATTGATCAGCCACTTTGTTCAATTTGTTAAAATTTTCTTTGGTCAATGATAATGTTATTCATGTTGTTTTTGTTTAAGTTTTTTTTGAAAATGATTTTTTACCAAAATTGAAAATTTGAACAAAAAATATGGCACCATTTCATCTGAATTATCCAAATTGAAATTTTGTAAAATTTGTTTGTTTTTTTCTCTTGAATTTTGAATTTTGAAAAAAAAACTCTAAATAAATAAAGTGAATAATGGCAACCGATTTAAGTGATGTTATAAAACAAGGTTATATGAAATGTAAAAGTCGTTCATTAGGTTTATGGCAAAAACGTTGGATCATTTTACGTCGACAATCAACAAAAGGACCATGTCGTTTAGAAAAATATCTAAATGAATATTCAGCAAGAAATATTGATCATCATCATCACCATCAACATAAAATACAATTATTAACAAATGTTATATCGATTGATCGTCTTTCGAATTCACAAAAACGTCATGCATTTGAAATTGATTTTAATGATGGTTCAGCAAAATATTTTGCATGTGATTCCGGTATGTTTTAGTTGAATTTTTTTTCAAACTTAACAAATGAAAAATTGATTAACACCTTTTTCGGTTCGTTTTATCAAAAATCATCATCATAGATCTTGAAGCTGATCAATGGATAAAATTAATGATACAAGAATGTTTTCTACCTGAATCTGGTATTTCAAATGGTGAACCTGATGTACTGAAACCTGGAATACAAAAAGAATTACAAGAACAATTTAAAGTTTATTTAATGCCAAGTTCAAAATTAGATATATTTGGTGAATGTTTTCTACAGGTAACCCATGAAAATATTTATCTATGGGATTGTGTAAATACTAAACAAAAATTATGTGCATGGCCATTGACCGCACTTCGTCGTTATGGTAAATAATTTTTTTTTCATTTAAGATTTTTTTTCCTATTTTGACCTCACCCGAACACGAATTAACTGATCATTTTTTGTTTGTTTTTGCTGTTGTTCTGATCAATTGTCAATTTTTTTTTGTTTTGTTACAAAAAAAAGGTTCGGATCTAACAAAATTTACATTCGAAGCTGGACGACATTGTGCAACCGGTGAAGGAATGTTTATATTTCATACATTAGAAGGTGAAAAAATTTATCGTAAAGTACATCAGGCAACATTGACCATTGCTGAAGCACATCAACGAATGAAAAAACAACAACAACAACAACAAACATCATCATCATCACCAATGAAAAAATTACAAAAAAATGATCAAACTACTAGTCTTCTTTCCAAATATAATGATGATGATGATAATGAAGATGATGATATCGATTTTGAATTTAATCAACAACAACAACAAAGATTATCGACAACAACAACAAATAATAATAATGGTTTGGCAGATTGGTATCATTCGGATAATGATTCAATACATTCATCATCGACAACATTACAAAGTCAACTATATCAACAACATCATCGTCATCGTCATGATCATACCAATATGGCCATGGGTCTTGAAGTTTAGAATAAAATTATCATCAAAGAATGAAACCAGATGATATTTGTGATAGAAAATTTGGTGGAGCGAAAATTTTTTCTGGCTGAAAAACAAAAAACAAACAAATCGAGTCATTTTCATATATCATATCGAAATCCAAACATTTTTTCTTCTAAATTCTGTCTACCTGTAGAAATTGAATCCATTTCACCTACGCACAATTTTTTTTGAAATTTATCATTTTTTTTTTCTGAAAATTTTTTTCATCATTTTTTCGCCGAAAAAGATGTTGTGCCATTTTTTATGCTCTTAATTGCCTTGTTCGTTACTTTCTCTCTCTTTTTTTTCGGTCATAAAACAAAAACAAACATTTTGTACATACAGATGATGTTAATGATATTCTATTTTTTTTCTTGGAAAAAAAATTTGAAATAAAAATGATTTTTTTATTAATTTTTTTGGGTAAAATTTTTTTTTGAAAAAATAGTTTTGATCATTGTTGGATAGATGTCGCCATCGTCTAGTTGATAAATTATTTTTTTTTGCTCTCATTTTTTCTCCTGTTGTTTACGAGTTGATGATCAATTGATGGTGATGATCAGAGTCAAATTATCATCTGATATTCAATTTATTCGATAGGTTTAATTTGTTGTCAATCCTTTACTTTTTTTCCTATTCATTCAGCAGCCTTGACAACGATTTTTATTTGTTTGTTTGCTTCAATTAAATCAAATCAGTGTTTTTTTTTTGTTGTTGTTTTTGTTGCTAAATTATCATTCAGATCAGAAATAAACAATAAATTTTCATTGATTATTCGGGTGTTTCCGTGTTTGATATTTTGTTTTGTTTTTTTTTTGCTATTTTTCGAAGTTCAATACACACTGTCACTATTTTGTTCCTTGACGAAAAAAAAAATGGGAAGCTGGTGTTGTTGTTTTTCAAAATCGGATACCGATAATGATGAAACACAAGGTATTTTGGATCATCCAATCGGTATCAATGATGGTATGATTTTTTTTTAATTTTTATCATAGAAAAATTTAAATGTTTATTTATTTTTCTAGGTGATTCACATTATGGTTCAACAATGGTCAACAATAATTATAATGTTAATCAATCATATCCAAATCAAAATATTCCTAATCAAATGAATGGTTCGAATATTAAACAACAACAATTACAACAAACAACAAATCAACAAAATCAATTATATCAAAATGTTTTAGATCGTCTTACATCACGTGTAATTGATATAGCGGCTATTGAAAAAAGCTGTGAACAAGCTGATCTTACTGATCGTGAACAAACATATCGTGATAAATTAATGTCCATACGTCGTCATGTTACGTTGCCTTCAAATTCTGCAGCAACTATTCAAGGTAACCGATATTTTTTTTGTGATAAACATGAATGAATGAATCTAATGATTAATCTAATTATTTAGCGGCCGATTATCCACATAAAAATAAAGATCCAATGCCAATGGATGATTATAAATTCATTACCGAATTAGCATTGAATTTGAATGCAGCCATTCAGGATGGTTTCAAAATTCATTGTGACGAACCTTTTGTTGTAAATTTTGATGCCTGAAATTTTTGATATGGCCATATATTAATTCATTAATTCAAATGTTTTTTTTCTCAACATTATCGTGATTTGCAAATTCTATCATAATATTCGATAAATCAAATAGTTATCATTGGAATCGTCTGGCAATTTATTCAATGGGGTTTTCTTTTCGCCCCTCCATCCAGTATAATTCTCTGTACATATTTATCATATAATATTTAACAATGTTTTCTAAATCGGTATTTTGTATTATCGATAAACAAAAAAATTTTTAATAAAAAAAATTTTTAATTGGTGATCATTCGACTATTTTTATTCAATATCAGCTATTTTAACCAAATAGGTTGATCGATCAATTCTTGCTTATTTCTGTGTTTATCAACATTGTTTCGCGGCTATAAAAAAAAAGAATCTGTATTTTTTTATTGGTTTTTCTTTTTATTGGTTAAATTTTATCATCATGAATGATCAACAAAAACCCGGACCTTCTGGAATTAAATCTGAAATGACAGAAAATTTGGATGATTTTCTTCGTTATTTTAATATTGTTCGTGATGATCATCACGACAGAATAGATGAAAAACCATTGAATGATCAATGGGAAAATGATGTATCGAAATTTTTATTCGAAAACAATTCAAATGATGATATTGATTTTGATAGGCCAGAATTCGATTCAAAAGATGTTGCCGAAATTGATAAATTGCTTGCCAATTTTATCGGTAATACTGATCAAAATGAAGATGAAAAAAAACCTCAACAAAAAGCATTTATTAATCCAAATTTGTACAAACTCAAATTCAATGTATGTATTTAGAAAATTAAAGAATATATAAAAAGTTGTTTTGTTTTTTTTTTGTTTGGTATAAATTAGGAAAAGAAAATGTTTCGATTATTTCGAGAAAATATGCTATACGATCCAATGGATGATATACTTGAAAAAATTGAATCAAAAAAACGTAAACATTTAACCACCGAAGATGATAGTTGTTGTTCAGATTCTGATAATGATAATGATGATCATGATCATTTCAATTCAATTGTTGGTGATGGTGATGAATGTCAATCTGAAATCAGTTTATATTCGGATATTGGTGGCGATGATGATGAAGATGATGATTCGAGTTATAGAAATAAAAAATTGAAAACAAATGAACGCATTGGAACAACAACAGCAACACCATTAGAACAAGGTGGCAGTAATTTACCATTATCATCATCATCATCATCAATTACAATGGCTATTAGCCCGAAAAAAGAGGAACCAATTGAACAACAGCCAATATGTCGTAGACTAAGACGACCAACATTACGAAAAGATTATCTTTCATCATTACCTCGACATGGAAATGTATTCAATTTGATTCGATATTCATGTACATCACGTATTGCACAAGATTTTCTTAAAACAACTGAAGGTAAACAACAGGTATTAGATGCAATAAAAAATTGTCGAAATATGTCTACATTGATCATACCGGAAGAAGAGACAGCAAAACCAAGTAAAGTTTTATTAATTTCACAACAAAATTTTAAAAAATCTAAAAGTGCTAATCATAAATTTCGAAATTCTGGTTGGCATCGACAACTAAATCAAGGTGTTAAAATGGAATCATTGTAAGTATTGTATTGTTGATTGTTGATAGCAAAGTGTTATTCAAATGTTTTTTTTCGGACACTAGTTTATTTCAGACAAATTTTCGATTTTTGAAAAAAAATCTAAATCAATCATGGTTTATTGAAGAGAAAAAACAGGAAAAAATTGAAGATAATACACCTTCAATGAATTTCATCAATGATCATGGTTGTTTTAAATCCGTTCCAATCGGATTATCCATTCTTTGTGATAATAATGGACAACAACAACAGCAACAAATACGAAAAAATGAAATTGCAAAACAATCTGTCAAAATCAAAATTAAAGATATTCCCGTATGCGTTGAAGAATTGAAAACAAAATTATTGAAAAAATTTCATGAACCACCAACAAATCGATTAGAACAAATAGAAACATCCATTATATCGGATGTGAATTGGCTAAGAAATCAACAAATAGTTACTATATGTCCAAAACCATCATCATCATCATCATCGACGAAATCAATTACTTCAGATAATATTGATATTGATGAATTTCGATCAAAACGTATAGCTGAACTAAATGATTCGATGAACGAAATATCTAATAATGATATATGGAAAAATTTTATAAAATTTGATCGAAAATGTACAAAAACCAAAACCGAATCTCGACCATATTTTAATATGTGTGATAATTTTCAATTCATATCATCCGATATGAATTGTATACCTATTGTTAAACGTATAAAACCGGATATATTTGATGATAGTGAAGATTTGAAACAATTATGGATACGAATGAAATCATCGAATGAATTTCCATCTGAACAATTTTTTCAACAAACAGAAAAATTAGTAAATGGTCGTCAACAAATATTACGATTAGAATCATTAGCACAACGACCTGATTATATTCAAATGCATGGTATGACAGCAATACTTGAATCAATAGCCGATAATCATCTTATATTTAGTCCATTTTTTTCTATCGAATAATTGATTTCAGTGAAAACAATCAATTGGTTAAATTAATCATCATATTTTATAAATAATTAATAATTAATAAATAATGAAAGAATAATGTAGATGGGTTTATTGTGTAGTCTATGTCATCTATGTGTGTGTGTGTGTGTGTGTGGGTGGTTGGATGGGTGTAAATAGGTGTGTGTGAGCGTATGTTCCGCTAATGAGAATTTGTTGACAAAACATTTTTTTTTTTGGAATTTTGATGTTTGAAATTTTCTTGAACAATAATACTGGTCATTTTTGTTTCATGGTTTTTTTTGGAACAGGTGTGTGTAATGTCGAACAACAACAATAAAAAAAAATGAAAAAATTGAAATCAAAATGTCATGTATTGAGGGGGGAGAAATGTGCGAATATAAAAACACACACACACACACACAAACCATGTATATGACAAATCAATCAATCAATCAAGATCGATGAATTTAAAAAAAAATTAAACAAACAGGAAAAAATGAGAAAATTCGATAGTGGCAGTGAATTTGCTTGGTTTAATTTGTAATTCGTTTGTAAATAAAAATTTGTAAACTTTTGAAAATGTTTTGATCCTTTTTTTCCATTGTTTTTTTTAAACCACCCCAAGATGCACAGCGAAGAATATTAATTATGTGTAAATCATTTTGTATCAAACTTTGTCCGGGGGGATGTAAATGTATTCTATAAAAAAAATGCTGGCTTCGAATTCAGGGGATGGTAATTTTTTTTGATCGATAATCAACGGAGGTGGATTATGAATGATGTGATAGTAAGGAAGGAAGGAAGCTTGAATTCAGCTTACAAGGAGAAACAAAAGCGAATGTTTTAAATGAATTAATTATTTTGCGAAACAAAAGAAAAAAGCAGAGATAGAGAGATAGAGAGAAGAAGAAGAAGAAAAAACAGCAACAACAAACAAACAAAAACAAATAAACAAATGTGTTGTGTGTGTGTGTGTTTACACAACGAATATGATGAATGAAATGAAATGAAATGAATGAATGAACAATCCGGAAGAAAAATTTGTGAAAAAAAATTGCAGATTTTTTTCTTCCAATTTTTTTCTGTTATGAATGATTTGATCCTAAACTTTGTTTTTTTTTGTCTATGTATCATTTTCTACATTTTTTGTTGCTTGAAATGATGAATATTTTAAGAATCATCAAAATCTTTGTGGCTGCTTCTGTTGATATAGTTGAGATTTTGAAATGAGGGTATATTTGGGAAATTTATTTCTTTCTGTTAATTAATATTATGGATTTTGAAGGGGGAAAAAACTGAAAGCAAAAAACAAAAATCAAACAAAATCCATCAAATCAATCAAACATCACACACACATTAACACACTCCCACTCAGACAAGAGACATAGAAACATTCAAAACACCATGCATACATAGATAATAATATTTATATGGAAAAAATATAACAAAAAAAGAGAGAGAGAGAAAAAAAAACGGAAATTGGAAGTGAAGTGTTAATATAATAACAATAATTAATAAAGTGCGTGTATAATGTGTTTTGGAAAAGGGTTATTCACAACAACCATCATCATCATTATCATCATTAATCTTCTAATTTGATTCTCATGGATGTTGTTTGTTGTTGTTGTTGATCAACAACAACAACAACATTATTCGATGATAATGATGATGGTGTACCAATCATTTGAACCTGTTGTTGTTGTTGTTGTTGTTCAAATGGTTCAGTTTTAATAATTGTTTGTGTTGTAGTTGCCGGTTGTATCTGTATTTGTGATGTTGATGATGATGATGGTGGTGATGATATTTGATTATTCAATGTAATTATTGGCTGCTGCTGCTGATGTGTTAATGATGTATTCGATATCATTATTGTATCATTATCATCATCATTATTTAACGTCGTCGTCGTCGTTGTATTTATTGGTTGTAATTGCTGCGAATGATGATGTTGTTGTTGTTGTTGTTGAGAAAATGATGACATTTTTGGTATATCAAATATTTCGGCAAACAATGGAGGTAGTTTTAAACGTGACCAATTTGTACGAAACCATTGTAAATGTAATGAATGGCTTGAACCAATTGCACGTAATTCATTTAATTTCATTATTAATTTTTGGAATGTTGTTTGTGAACCTTCATTTTCTCTATGTTTATTTATTTGAAATTTTAATGCAGCAATTATTGTTTCCTGTATTTTATTGATTGCTTTTACATCATAAATTTGTGGTCGATCTGTTGATGTGAAACAAGAAGAGAAAAGTTGAAAGTAATTGATAAATAACATTATCATTAATTGAAGATTACCTGATTGAAGAATAATGATTGCTGAAAATAGGGCCACTTCTTCATCCGTCAAATTTAAACTATTCAATCCGGACATTAGATGAAATAGATTACCAACAAATTCATGCTAGAATTGGAAAGAGAGAGGAAATATAATGCAATGTTTTTCATTGAAATTTGGAAAATTCTTACATTAAACATTAATTCTAATTGTCGTCGACTTAGAAATGAACCATCAGCAAATGTTAATGTATTTTCAATAAAATCAATAGTTTTTGATATATGAACTAACCAAACTTCAAAAAATCCTAATTTTATTAGGATTAATTGATCATCTTGTGTTAGATCAGAAAAACCGGGTATACGTTTTGCAAATTCAACAATACGTTGTATACACGGGGTTATTAATAATGCTAAATGTTCCCATAATTCAATTTTTTGTGTTTCTAAACTTTCCGATACTGAACCAATATCCGGTGATGAACAGGTTTCTGTTTCATGTTTTAATTGACTTGTTGATAGCTAACCAAAACAAAATCAAAAATCAATCAATAAAATCAATAGTGCTATATAGCGTTACTTACAAGATATATTGGTTTTTTATTAATTCCTTTAATTTTTTCATTTGTATATGAGCAATTATCATGATGTGCTTGTGATATTGTTAATGCAATTTCATAACAAGCTAAATCTTTTGATTCATTATCACCATTTGATGATTGATCAGCTTCGGCTTGTGTAACACGTTTATTTTCATCTAAACGTTCTTTTTCTTTGGATTTTTTCGGTACCCGACCATAACGAACAGCTTTTTTTTGAAAGTAAATAAAAAGTAAAAAGTGAATAAAATTGAAAATTACAATTAAAATTATTAAAAAACAAACAAACAGATAAATAAATTACTTACAATCACGTGACATACCAACAGCTAAACATTTTTTAAATCGACAATATTGACAACGATTACGATTTAAACGTATTATTAAACATTTACCATCACGTAAACAACGATATTCAATCTGTTTTTGTATTGAACGACGAAAGAAACCCTTTTGTTGGTGAGTGGGGGGAGGGAGAGAAAGAAAAATTATCCGATAAGATTAAAATTGAAAGAATATTTCCAGAAAAATAAGGGGAACTTTGAAAATCCGATTTTGGAAAAATTTCCGGAAAAGAAATTTCCCAGAAATTTGTCATAATTTTCCACGAAAAACTTTACAAAAAACAAAATATATGACATTTTCTTTTTCTTCTTCTTGTTTCGTCCATAATAATGATAATTATTATTAAAAAACAAAAAACAGAAAAATTAAATGACCATAATTATTCATAATCATAATTATTATTATTTGATAATGATAAAAACAAGCAGAAAACTTTGTCGAGCAAATTGGCTTTTGGCTTTTGAAAATTATGAAAAAAATTATGAATGAAATTATTTCCCGTATGAATAAATCATCAAACAGGACATTCATTTCCGTATTTTTTTAATATCAATTTTTTCGGTTGTGCAAGAAGAAATGAATTTTTTTGAAAAAAACCACGATTTTTTTCAAAAATGGTTATGGAATCTCATTGCCAATTCTTTGATCTTGATCATTGAATATATGAACAGGACCGAGTGAGTTAAACAGGAACTCAAACAACAACGATGATGAACGGGAAAAAACCTGTTCCATTTCCTTGTCCCTTTCCGAAAGAAAAGGAAAAATATTCATTTTCGGGATAAAATGAGATTTTTTTTTTGTTTTCATTATTATCATCATCATCATCATCAGTAACAATGGTAAATAATTTCAATTGTTTTCTCTCTCATTCACTCTTTGATGACTAAAATGACTCTAATGATAATGATGATTGTGAAAGAAAAAAATTTCGCATTGGATCTATACAGGTTTTTTGTTTTGCCAAAAGAGAATCAACAGAAACAAAAAAGATTTTGACAACGAAAACCGCCATTACCATCATATGTGTGTGTCTTTTGAAGAAATATTTTCCCGAACATTTTCATCATGAATTTCAACGTCCCACACACACACACAACACACACACACCCGGTAATATCAATGATTTTCCTTTCGTCCGGTATTTGTTTGTTTTTCATTTTCATTTTTTCACTGTTTTAATGATGAAAAATGAATTCCCGCTTTTCATTTCACTCATTCATTCACTTTTTGTCTCTTCTTTTCCCTTTCAAAAAAAAAATGAAAATGAAAATCAAGTGAACACAGTGTCAAGAAAAAAGGAAAAAAAATCCGGAAGTGCAATGCATTTTTTTCATTCATCAGCATTCATTCACAATAATGAAATAAACACACAGGTTCCAATTGGAACAACAACAACAACAACGGAAAAAATTGCTGCATAAACGAGAGAAACAAGTTTTGCTTTTTTGTGTTCTCAGGAACAACAACAACAACAAGATGATGATGACCTTAATAGTGAAATTTCATTTTTTGATTTTCATTTTCAATTTTTTTCAATCAAGATCCTGAAATTTTTCTTCCGTTCGTTACTATTTACTTTCTCTCGGCGCCATTTTTTCATTTGCAGTCGTAGAAAACTTTCATATACAACGTATCATTATCATTTTAAAAAGATTTAAATCAGATTTCACTGTCCTGTACACAATGTTTATCTTCTTATCTTTTTCTTTTAAGATTTGAAAAACAAATGATGAAATGAAAATTCAATTTTTTTCAAAATTTAAATCAAATTTTCTAGACTTTTGGCTTTTGTTTTTGTTTTTGTTTGTTTGTTTATCTTGACCAGGAAATATAAATATTCTTTGAAACAATTAGCCGGGAAAATTATTGTTTGATTTTTGATGTTTTTGTTATTCAAACTTACTTTACATCCTTCACAACTAGTTACACCATAATGATAACCCGATGCTTTATCACCACAAACTTTACATGGTACAAATGCTTTTGAACTAGGATTTCCGCTATTTGAATCTGCATCGGTAAATTGTTGTTGTTGCTGTTGGTGTTGATGACCATTTCCCGTTGATGATGTTTCTGTTGTTGTTGCTGCCGCTGCTGCTGATGCACCTGTTGTTTTTGTCGTTGCTGTTGTTGTACCATTTGTACCGGAATCACCATTCGATTGATGACCACCACCACCACCTATTTTGAAACAAACAAAAACAAAAAACAATTAAAATTTCATTCAAAAATGAAAGAGAAAATTAATTATCCTTTCTCGGTAATTATAATTCGGTTAATTATTATCATCATCAAATAAACAAATCATCATTATCATTATAGACAATTCACATGATAATTATTTTAAAATTTAAATGATGATGATGATTATAAAACAAAACAACAACAACAAAATAAAACCATTGATTTGAAACGGGAATGAATGAATGAATGAATGGCGGAAATTCCAGGTTTCAATAGAAAATGAAAAAGATAATTGAAAAAAAAACTTTAAAATTTTTTTGAAAAGTAAAAGGAAATGAATCAACAAAATGATGATGATCCTGCGCATGTTTGTTTCGAATGTTTTTGATTCGAATGTTTTTGATTCGAATGTTTTTGATTCGAATGTTTTGATTCGAATGTTTTTGATTCGAACGTTCGAAATGACCAATGCGAGGAATACATAATTATCCTCATCATCATCATCATTGGTTAACATTTATTCGAAATTCGGGAATTTTTTTCCATTGAAATTTCATTATTTTCATCATCATTATCATGGTCTTTCATTTTTCGGAACAATAAACGGAATTTGTTCATTTCATTTTAAATTCAAATTTTTTTTTGGAACAAAAATGATACGTGAAAAACGCGTGATAAAAGAACTTGCATTTTTGTTTTTTGTTGTTGTTGATCGACGTCTGTTGTGCAACATACATCATTATAATGAAGCTTTCTCTCTCTTTTATTTTCGTTTATTTCCAAAATGTTGAATGTCGATGTTGATGTTGATGATCAACCCGGAAGTAGATATTTGTAGATTCATTACGGGATCCACTTGAAAAAAAATTACACAAAGTTTGTTTTGATCATTCACAATTTTTCTTTTTTTCAATATTGTTTTCTTCCAAAAATATTTACATCATTATGTTTATCATTGGCTTTGATATCTGGATTTTTTGCATTTTGGCTTGAAAATTTTACCTATAACACATAAATGATCCATTGTGTCTTACAATGTAACAAAACAAACGAAAACGGATAAAAACGGTAATGTGTACATTGCATTGAAATTCGGCTCTTCTCTTTTGTAATGTTTTGTTTAGTTTCAAATGGAGAAAGAGGAGAACAACTACAACAACAACAAAAATGAATGATTTATTTCAACAATCACGGACGATAATGACCAAAAATTGTTTTCAGATGATGATGATAATGATCCAAACGATGCACGCAAATAAAAAAAATTGGATTTTCTTCATATCTATAGGTGTGTGTTTGACCACCAATGGCTTTGATGGTCAAACAATGTTCATGAAATTGAATTTTTTTTCAAACAATTTTTTTTCATGTTCATTATGAAAATAACCCGGAAAAAAAGAATGCATTATTTGTTTTTTAAAAACATTCGAAATCGATAGTTTCGTTCATCACATTTTGATGTGAGAGCAAATAGAATCGATTAATTCGAACATTTTTCGAATGTTTTCATTCGAAAATGTAAACAACCTTCGAATGAAAAAACCAAAAAAATGTGAACGAACTCTGTATTAGTCTGAAAAAAACATCATTTTTTTTGAATTTGTATTTTCAAATTAACAAAAAAGAAAAAAAGATCCATACAGGTATATTATATAGGTGTTTGCATGTCTACCATTCAGTTTTAACCTGGCTGACTGAACAAAACAAACAACCCAAAAGAAAATTTGAAACCAGCAATGAAAAAAATCATTATTTTTTCAACAAAAAATCTGTCTCTGCAAAAATCTACAATATGGCTGCATTATTGGTCCCTAGACAGCTAAACAACAAAAAAACCAGGTATATAATGTGAATGAACTATGAAATTCCCATTTATTTTTTGAAAAATAATCTTTATTTTAATCAACAATCGTCATTTTTATAAACAGAAGCAAATGGCAATGGCAATGAAAAAAAAAGTAAAGTAAAATAAAAACCTATTCAGTTATGACCCGAAACGAAATGAAAAATACCGAGACCACTGTTTGTCTGTCAGTCTGTTTGTCCATTCGAAATATTCAATGCCATTGATCCAAACAATCAAAAGCAAAGCAATCAATGGACCCTTGCCATGGTCCANGTGTACATTGCATTGAAATTCTCTTTTGTAATGTTTTGTTTAGTTTTGAACAGCGAAAGAAGAGAACAACAACAACAACAAAAATGAATGATTTATTTCAACAATCACGGACGATAATGACCAAAAATTGTTTTCAGATGATGATGATGATGATGATAATGATCCAAACGATGCACGCAAATAAAAAAATTGAATTTTCTTCATATCTATAGGTGTGTTGATATTTGACCATCAATGGCTTTGATGGTCAAACAATGTTCATGAAATTGAATTTTTTTTTCAAAAATTTTTTTTTTCATGTTCATTATGAAAATAACCCGAAAAAAAAGAATGCATTATTTGTTTTTTTTTAACATTCGAAATCGATAGTTTCGTTCATCACATTTTGGTTAGAGAGAGCAAATAGAATCGATTAATTCGAACATTTTTGAATGTTTTCATTCGAAAATGTAAACAACCTTCGAATGAAAAAAAAAATGAAAAATGTGAACGAACTCTGTATTAGTCTGAAAAAAACATCATCTTTTTGAATTTGTATTTTCAAATTAACAAAAAAGAAAAAAAAAGATCCATACAGGTATATTATATAGGTGTTTGCATGTCTACCATTCAATTTTAACCTGGCTGACTGAACAAAACAAACAACCCAAAAAAGAAAATTTGAAACCAGCAATGAAAAAAAATCATTATTTTTTTCGACAAAAATCTGTCTCTGCAAAAATCTACAATATGGCTGCATTGGTCCCTAGACAGCTAAACAACAAAAAACCAGGTATATAATGTGAATGAACTATGAAATTCCCATTTTTTTATAATCTTTATTTTAATCAACAGTCGTCATTTTTATAAACAGAAGCAAATGGCAATGGCAATGAAAAAAAAGTAAAGTAAAGCAAAAAACCTATTCAGTTATGACCCGAAACGAAATGAAAAATACCGAGACCACTGTTTGTCTGTCAGTCTGTTTGTCCATTCGAAATATTCAATGCCATTGATCCAAACAATCAAAAGCAAAGCAATCAATGGACCCTTGCCATGGTCCACCACCACCGCCATCACCATCGATAAAGTAAACCAAATGGAACCAACAGTGGTGACTACAAATTTTGAAACGCGATCAAACAACATAAAATGCCAAGGCCAAACACAAACACCGATAACAACAACAAGTAAAATTCAATAATCAAACATCAAAAAATGATGATGATCAACGAAAGAACGAAATATACATAAAATCAAACCAATGTATGTATGAAAAAAAAGGCGAACGACCTTTTTTGGGATAAATAATTTCGTTTCGTTTTTTTCTTCTTGTAGTTGTTTGCGCATATTTTTTCAAATCATCATCAATTGAACAACGAAAAATGCAAAAAACACACACACCGAATATAAACATTTCTTTTCCTTTTCATTCTTGTGATTATTAAGAAAGGAAAAAAACATTCGGTGTGTGTATAGTGGTGGTAGTAGTCTTTTCCCGATCTTTTTTCAATCGTCTTCATTCTTGGCCATCGCTCTTTTGCCAAGTTTTTTTGTTCTTCAGTGAACGGGCATTGACATTTTTTTGTTTGTTATATCAACCAGAAACGAAAAAATGATGATGATAATAATAATGAAGCCCATGCCGAGATTTGAAGCAATGAAAATGGAAAAAATGAATTTTTTTTTTGACAGCCCTTGAAGAAATGTAATGTTTGTCTATGCTGTGAATATCACCATATCGAATATCGTCCATTCATAATGAACAACAACAACAACAACAACAACAACAGGACCCTAGGATTGTCCTGTTCATATTGTCTTTTTTTTGCATTTTCATGGTATTTGAACCTGACCTTTTTTTCTATGTTGATGATGATGGTGATTTGAATGATGATGATGTGATTGTTGTTGTTGATGATGATGTTGATGGGGTGTGTGTGGTGTTGGTTGTTGTTGTTGTTGTTGTTGAGGAGTATGATGATGTATTTGATGCTGTTGATGATGATGATGATTTAAATGATTTGTAACCGATGATGATGATGGTGATTTAATCGTATGATGTTGTTGTTGATGATGATATACAGGACTTAATACAGATGATGATGATGATTCAGCCATTTCACGTTTTATATCATATGTTGAACATGGTGAACTAGATGTTGATGATGATGCAGATGGTGATGAATGATTTGATGATATTGATGATGATGCTGTTGATGATGTTGATGTTGAAGATTTTTTTGCTAAAATACATGATCCATTTGATCTTGATTGTAATGGTAATTGTGAACGTTGTGATGTTGGTGAATGATTATGATGATGATTATGATAACCATTATTATTATTATTATTTAGATGATGATTATGTCCATGATGATGATGATGTTGGGTTATCGTTGGTGTTGATGATGATAATGATTGTCCAACAATCGTACCATGATTAATATCAATTAATGATTGTGAATCAGGTATCGTTTGATATATTGATGAACCAATATAATTATTAATATTTCCTTTATCATTTTCTAAATGATGATATTGCATCGAATGTTGATGATGATGATGATGATGATTATGATGATTATGAATAGGATGGTGATGATGATTTTGTAAATGATGAGAATTTTTATTCAATTGATGATGATGTTGATGATGAGAATCGATTTGATAGGATTGTTGTTGATCATTACTATTACTACTGCTACTACTATCTAGGTTATAATAGCCATTTCCGCTACCAGTATCATTAACAATTCCAACATTACCATTATCATCAAATAAATCACCAGTTGAATTTGATGATGATGATGTTAATTTATCATTATCAATTGTTGTTGTTGTTGTTGCTGTTGTTGTATGTGCAACAATTACCGAAGTAGGTGTTGCTAATGAATTATCTGTTGATAATTGACCATAACTAGAATTATTTGCAGATGTTGTTGTTGTTATTGTTGTTCCATTTCGATATGAAAGATTTCCATTTGTATTTGAAATGGAATTTGTTGTTGTTGAAGAATTTGTATCATTCGATGATGATGATGATGATGATCCATTCGATGTTACAAATGGATGTACTGGGCTATTAAGATGATAACCATTTTCCACCACTGTCACACCACCAACACCACCACCGGTTGATGATACAGCTGTAGCTGTTGAACCAACACCACCCACACCATTTCCCATACATGATGATGATGATGATGTTGAACTAATTACAGGTATTGGTGATAAAATATTTGGACAATGTTTGTCCAATTGATAATAATCCATTGATGTCATTTATATTATTTTATTTTTAAAAAACGAACAGAGGGTTAAAAAAAACATTCAAAGACACAACAACACTACATTATGATGATGATGATCAACAAACAAAACAAACAAATGGTTACAAGAAGAAGAAAAAAAATTTCATAAAATCAAAATGATCTTTGGCTACCCGATATGATGATGATGATCATGATCAAACATCACTGCCATCATCATCATCAAATGAGAGAGAAAGAGAACGGGAAACAAAATTGAAATGAAATTCAAATTGTGAACAAGCAAGCAAGCAAGCAACAGGTAACATTTTTATTTTTTTGAAAAAAAAATATTTACAGTTTTTCTCTCCCTTCTATAGTTTAATCG